TAGCCGCTGTCAAAACATTTACAATCAGATATTTCAATTCTTTACTATAAGTTTCCGGTATAATTCCCAGTAAAAATGTCTCTGGTTTAAAGTCTATGTGTTGTTTTGTCATTTTTTCCAACCATGTGCGGATTTTAATCCAATATCTTTTGGCTTCGGAATATGTCCGCCACATATGGTAATATGAGCCGGGTATCTGATGACACTTCCAACATTTATCGGACTTGTTCTTACACATTCTCGCGATCCTCGCTGGGGGTAAATGCCACTCAGTATATCTAACTGTTTGTTCCTTTTTATATGTTATTGGATAAGAGAAGGCTTCAATAGTGGATATCCATCATGGAACTTTTAAATAATACTGTCTTCTTGTCTTCTCCTGATTTTTCCTTTCATTGTTGTACTTTCTAAGATGTCCAACAAGAACCCAAGGGTTCCTCATAATGTTACTGCTGGGGAACATAAAGGTCCTTTCCTATAATTGTTCCATACTGCTGAGATTTGCAGAACTCCAAAATACAATATAGGTTATAAGGCCAAACTCTTTCTTCTTATGAACTGTAAAGTGGATGGGGTTTGGTCATGTTGCACTTGCCAGAGGGCTATGGAACACTTCCTGTGAATTGCTTGGGTAGTAAATAGGAAAAAGAAAATGCCTTGCCACAGGCTGACATGATTTAAAGTAATTATGGTGAGCTTTTCCTGTGGTTTCTGTGCTCATGAGTCAAGGTCCTCAGCCTGAAATGAAATGAACTCAGCAGCAAAGTATTCTTCATTTCGGTATTGCTGCTATTTTTTATTTTATTTATTTATTTTGCTTTATATTCTGAACATAACTGTTTGACTGTGTCTACCTTTATTCAGCAATTAAGTATCTTACATTTTACAGTAATGATTGGCATCCACCCAAAATTAGCTTTGGGTGGTATGAGGCTTGGTATCACTTGGTGTCAGTTGAGTGCAAGCATGGGGAGAACTATTTGGGTTTGTATTATTAGTATGAATAATGCTTTCCTTCTGTTTGTGATCATAGGATAAAAGCTATCAAGGCTGGTATATGCACATTTTTACTGCTACATCATATAGTGTGTTCTTAAGATTGAGATCTCATTCCCCAGGAAGTGTTTTTGCCTAAGATTAATTGCCCTTTTAAAGTCAGTGTTTGATGTATTCTCTCTGGCTGGCCATATCCTGACTCAGTTAACCCGCTGTGACCTGACCCCACTGACTGTCACCAACATGGCCAAGACAGACTTCTTTTAGCATGTTATATGCTGGACAGACAGAGGCTCTTCACAGAGTAGGTTCAAGTAGGTGGATTTTTTAGTAATCCACGGAAAAGAAAGATGTGTTTGAACAGATTGCAAACTTTTGAAAATATCTAAATGGCTCTTCATCTAGCTGCCAGCTGAAATAATTAAAAATAGGAGTGTGTAGTAAGAAATTGGCTAGAATATTGGAAGGCTGGATTATAAAGGAGAACTGTAATCAAACTTTCCAGCAATTACGCATCTCCCTGTTTTGGTGTACAAATATATATACATTTCATTGTGCATTACTTTTATTTATGTGAGTTTCTTGAATTACCTAGATCTAGTATAGGATACTTAATAAGGTTAAGAATTTATGCTTAAAATTAGTTCAAATATCAGTTATTACCACTAGCAGTCTAGTCTCTTTAATGCATTGTTAAAAATCTTAATCAGGATTGTTGCACACATTATGAGTGTGAACATTTGGAAAATAATAAGCTCTTGCTTAGTTAATGAAAGTAAGGTGTTTCTAATACAATAGCATAAAGTGACTTTATTGTATAATGTACTTGGATTCTGCTTTAATATTTTGTCATAGGACATAAAAATGTGTTGAGGAAAAGATGAGTTGGCTTGACAAGTTATTGCCATTGGAATGAACACACCCTTTCCTCAATGTGTTTTTCAAGTAGGAGAACATTTGAGAGTGGCTAAACGTTTTAATATTTATAGATGGTGTTATGCTGAATATGCATTTCCAGCATTTATTCAGGGCAGAGTTACCCTCTTCCTCTAACTCACTGTAACAGTTAAAAATACAGAAGTTAAAAACATGGCACTGCTTATTAGAGCAATTAAGAGATGCCAAAAAAGAAACAAAACAACTCTTAAAACAACAGCACATTCATTGGAAGCAGATTAAAATAAAGTTTTAATAGCTTTTCAGTTAGTTAAATATCATTAAATCAGGCCTAACTCCTCACTGCTGTATGGAACAATACTGACTATCTGGACATATCCCCAGAGATCATCTGTAGCTTTTCTGGGGACATTCAGGGATTTCCTTGATCCCATCCATCCACTTTATATTGCCTTACCCCTTCTGCTTCTCTTAGCCTTGCCGAACATAGTCATTTTTTCCTTGTTGATTGTCTACTTGCTGCATATGCCCAGAATATGTGAGTTACTGCTTCCTGATCATCACTTTATGGGAGCAGTCTTTATTATCCAGGCTGAATCAGTCCATGGTACTCTTAGCAACCATCTCCAAATCCATAATTTGAGGGCACCTATCTTATTTCTCTTGTTGTTTGTCAGTGTCAGCTTTTACAAGCATATGTTATCTTGAGAAAAAAATGGCCTTGACTATTCTGATCTTTGTTATACAAATATCCTTATCCCCCATGATCTTGTCTAAATTTGTCTTTGCTTTCCTTCTAGAATTAATCTCTTGTTTACATCTCCAGCACACTGTCCATGTTCATCTGTTCTTGAGCCCAAGAAAATAAAATTATCTGCAATTTTTGCTTCATTGCTATTAACTGCGAGTTCACTAAGCTTGCTGGTTGGCATTGTCTTAGTCTTCTTAATATTTAATATTAACCCAGATTTTTCACTTTCCATTTTTACTTTCATAATGAGCTCTTCTAAGTTTTCTTTAGAAGTGGTATCGTTTGCTTATTTCTAATTGTTGGTGTTTTGACCTCCAATTTTGATTCAGTCCGCCATTCTGATAATATAATTGCTTTATAAGTTAAACAAATATGAGGAAAATATACATACTTATCTCACTCTCATTTCTTATTGTGAACTATTCTGTTTCCCCAAATTCAGTTCTTATACTAGCTTCTTGTTCATGTAAAGTTTCCTTAGAAGAATAATCCTGTTTTCTGGTGTACTGCTCAGCCCTAATAAAGAATATGTTCTGGCATGATCTACACAGTCAGAGACCTTGCCATAGTTAATAAATCAAAAATAAATTTATCTCATTCTCACTGTTACAATCCTTCATTACCTATCAGATCTTATACGTCTCTTTCTTTTCTGAGACCCGCATTTAACATTTATCCCTTTATAACTCTTTAAAAATTTATAAAAGTGGGGCCAGGAATATCTCCTTTTTAAAGAATTTTATAAATAAGGGGAGGAGGAGAATCACCACTGAATAACTGTTTTGGAAAAGCCCGAGCAGTTTTGTGAGGTATAGGCTTTCAGCTATCTTCTTGCACCTCTAGAATCTTGGCTTTGATATTTTGACGGAGGGGAGGTATTGTCCTTTAAATGTCTACATGTGAGGTCTTTAAATATCAATATTCCTTCTCCAAACTCTTTTCAAGGCTTTAGAGGGTCTCCTGAAATAATGGGGACACTCTTGTTTGCCCGTCAGTCATGTTAATAATACTATTAAGGTTTGAGTAGCTATTTCTGCCACACAGAAGTGTTTAATAAAATTGCATTTCAGACTTTTGATGAAAGTGCCCAAAATTGTTAATCTTTCCCATAAACTGTCTCCAATTATCATCCTGAAACTGTACACTTTATTTACTCAGGAGCACCTCTACAATATGTATGTAGGTGTACAGATTACTCAGAGTCTGTTTACAGCTTCACCCCAATTAACAAAGACACTTTCATTCCCCCATATCATTTTGAAAACATTTTTAAAAAATCATCCCCAGAAAGCAGACGTATACAAATTCCATTTTTGAAAGACCCCAAGCACTGTGGTAAATTCTGCTCTTTTGCTAAACACGTTAATAAAAATTAACTGTTTTTATTTAAATTTAAATTATCCTTGCAACTTTCATTTGGAAATTTGGTAGGCTTCATTTTGAAGCCCTGTTTTTAAGACTATTATATTTCGCTTCCATGTGCTTAATAAGAGACAAGTTAGTGTATTAAGACTACAGTGGTTTAAAAAAAATAACAGCAGCTTCTTGATAGTGTTATGAAACTTCATTTAATAGAACTTTCCAAGTATCTTTAAAAAATCATTTGAACAGTAGCAAGATAATAATCAGTAACGACAAAGCAAGGATTCTGTAGAATTTCACCATGAAACTGAGTAGTGTATGCTTCTAGCATAGGTGTTGTTTCTTTTTAAATCTGACAAATGTTTGATTAGCAGCTTCTCTCTCTCTCCCCCCCCCCCTGTGAATTAGATGGTGAAAAGAAGACTCAAGTGGTGATTCATGGAATAGAACCAATGTTGGAGACACCAATACAGTGGCTAAGTGAACATATGAGTTACCCTGATAACTTTCTACACATCAGTGTTATTCCACTATCTGCAGATTAAAGTGTCATCATGTTTGTCTGAGGATCAGCCTTTGATGGGGACAGCAAAATGTACAGCTAAGTACAATCAGGCTTGGTGAGGATGACCTGACCAGAAATCTTTGCCCCTGCAAGCTGAACAGGAAGAAGGATCCTTCATGTGATAAGAGCAGTTGAGCTGGCCGATTTTTGCATTAGCCATTTTTTCTCCACTGTTGTCATTAACTTTGAATGTGACACATGAAGGCTACTGCAAGTCTTCTATTTCTCTAATGATAAATATGAAGTGGAGAGCATGAGGAATAAGTGGAAATATGTGCCACTTTGTATTTCTTATTAATCAATAAAAAGGGGTATTTTCCAAAGTTGCAATGACTTGCCTTTAAAATTAAAATCTGGTTTATTTTAGAAAATTAGATGAATATTCTATTAAAATGAATATGCAGTATCTCTTTAGAAAAAGATGGCATGCTGAACTCCTTTCTCTGGGATTTCATATACAGAGTTTCTTTCAAATTTTATACTTGGCAACTGAATTTTTAAACAACCACATATTTTGTATTCTACAAATTACATTAGTGATCCTAAACACATTACTAGCATTAGTAATCTTACTGGCATTAGTATGCCTTAGTTCAAAGTAATACTGGTAAGTTTCTTGCATAATTTATATGTACTATGACACTGGATATGCTCAGCTGCTAGATGGTAGGAGGATTGGGTTCTCTTTCAGCAGAATAGCACCACAGAGGGAAGGTTTTTTCCTTTTTCTCCAGCAGTTTCCTGTGCAGCCCACTGCCTGCTTTGGCGAGCCAAAGAACTAGATTTGGTATCAGTCAGGATGAATGTAGGGAGGAGGAGGAGGGGAAGTCCTATTGTATGACCAGATGTCCAGTCACATGGCACTGAGTAGAGACCCTAATTTACTGGACCGTATAAACTTTTTTTTTAAATTCCCGAAATGTATTGGTTTCAGTTAAGGGGTTTCATATGCAGCAAAACAGTTTGAAAAATATGATTCCTTCTAAATAGTTTGTAAGAGATTTTTGGGAGTTTCAAGGGTTGGATTTTCTCAACTCCCAAAGAAGTAATGGGGTAGACAGCACTAATAACTTTTCAGATGAGCCCAAGCTCCAGTGAGAGTCAAGTGCAGGAGTCCTTCTGCGTCCAGCCGTACCCTTCTGCCAGCTTGGGACAACTTTAGCACATTAGTTCTGGGCATCTAACATAAAACAAGGCGGATAGATCAAATAATATTCTCATACAGAATCAACATTAAAAAAGCCTCCCAAGATCAAATTTGTTCTTAAATTTTGATGCCACAAAAGGACTTTTTTTTTAATTTGTGTCCTGTGCCTCTAGGCTTATTGGAGTTTGGGATTTATTTTTATAATTAGTGATTTAAAATTCTATTTGGAAGTATTAGAGATTCCTTCATACTTTTGGCCAATACTTGTTCCAGAACTTTTCAGAAGCAGCTGAAAGTCTTGCTACTAGATATACTTGTTGACTATAATGGAGACTTACCAATAGTTGCAATTGCCCCCTTTGTTCCACTAGTAAATAAGAGAAGTAATGTTTGGTAATATGAATGTATACTGAATTCTTACCTTGTATCATCTTCTAAATAAGATTTTTTTTGAGGCCATTAGCTATTATAAAATGTATAAAGTTTTCTTGAAATAAAGTTTGCCATTTCCTTCTCAGAATTGTTTGCTTTTTAAGTATTTAACCTGTGTATAAAATATTAAAATAATAGTTTAGTCACAACTGAAACTGAACCATGATGCTAAAATGACTTCATGGTGTTGAAGTATTACTTAAGTATTCTGTTCAGACATCAACCTGATTTGCACACCCACAATACTTCAGATAACTGAAAGAACAATGTACTTTTTCCTGTATTTTGGAAATGCTTGTGTGTGATTCTTAAACACAGAGTGATGTCTAGCTTTGTGCACATGTGGTTTGCTCAAACATTCTCTACTTGCACCTACACGTGCAGAACAGAGAAGAAATCATCTGTTCTGCTGATACAGAGTCCACAATAAGAACATTGGCTTGTAACTCTCTGATATTCCTCTGCTGATAGAAACCTTCATGATCAGTAGAACCAGGAGGGAGATCTGTTGGTGATTCTTCCTCCTTCCTGCAACTATTCATAAATGCCCAAATCTGTTGCCAGCTTCATAGTCTTATGGAAGGTGGCATGTGAGGTTACAGGGGGAGTTGCTGAGTTGGCTTATTCCTTGTGCAGCTAATAGTCTCTTTTCATTAAAGACGTATCAGCATGAATCAGTTGCTTAATTCAAAATGAGCATAATGCCTTTCACTCTTACATTTATGAGCAGCATGAACATGCATGCACGGTCCAATTTTCATTATTATTTATTCCTAGAATTCAAATTACCAGTTCATGGGCATTTTCCTCCAGTATATGCAGTTTACACTAACAGACAAATAGGCATAATTAAGACATATTTTTCATAAGGTTATTAAAGATTATATAAAACAGATTGACTAATACAAAAACGTAATATAAAAATGTATTAAAAGAAAAAATAATAATAATTAAAACATTCTTAATCACATTTTAATAACCACACTTTAGAACAGCATTTCTCAACCTCAGCCACTTTAAGGTGTGCTGACTTCAACTCCCAGAATTCTCCAGCTAACATGCTGGCTGGGGAATTCTGGGAGTTGAAGTTCACACCTTAAAGTGGCTGAGGTTGAGAAACACTGCTTTAGAATATGAATGGGAACTTGCAGCACCGGCCTCAAGCAGTCTGGAGCTCAGAAATAATGTAGGGTGACATCAGTTCCGCAGTCAAAGCCAGGAAGGAACAACTAATGGACTGTTTTTGCCCCTGGAACCCCCAAGATTCTGCTGCTGAAATTCAGACAGAAACTGCAAAATGATGTGCAGTTTTTGGCTGGAAACAAGTACTGTAAGCTTCTGGTAAACTTAATTAATCTGATTAATGGTGATTCTTTTTTTTTTTAAAGATATATTCAAATAGGGGGACAGACCAAAAATGTCATCCTTATCCCCATAGATGCTGATATATCACTGCCAAACCTTCTACAGTCTCAGTTCCTTTTTTTTTTTTTAGTGTAATTGTTAGCTTTTAAAACACTGCACATCCTGCCCTAACTCTTGATTTTAGAGTGAAAATCATGGCAATCATGGGTACAGATTGTTGCCCTTCATTTTTCATTTGCTCTGCATTTCCATTTTTATGGTTCCTAATTGTGGCTTGATGATTACTTTATCCACTGAATCATACTGTCAATTGTCTCAATTAGTATACTATAGTCCACTCTTCCACATGTTGGCTGGGGCTGATGGAGCCTTTGGTCCAGTGAATCTAGCAGTCTCCCCTGCAAGTATTAGTAGGTCCAATGGTCACCTTTTTCAAAATTAGCCAAGGCTGGTTATGTGTTAGCAGCAGCTGTGATTTAAAATAATACACCATAATTAAAGGCTGTTATTAAAAAAACAGAAAAGTTCCATTATAAGAAAATGTAATTCTTATTCTGTAATTTAAAAAAAAATACTAGCTCAATGACATTTATCAGACCATTGTCTAGGGTGCAGCTCTTTCTCCTGTCTCCCAAGGTCATTTCTTTCCATTCAGACAGTTCTTTTTATCAACATAACATGAGTATCTTCAGGTGGACAAATTACCTTTGTGATGCTTTCTCATGTATGTTTGTATGAATGATTGAGGAAAATGGTCAAGTCAATTCTCTAACTGAAAATAGTGGAAACAAATTTTTCCAATAGCTGTACTTATTCATACAGGGTTGTTTTAGATTCCTTAAGAACTAGACAATTAGTGAGACTTGTTCTTGATCAGAGAGGTGGCTGCCCTACTTGCAATCAGTTCAAGAATTTCCTGGTATTGTGGAAGATGTCAAACAGTCAGCTTTTTGCTTTTTAGTACATTTGGAATTACTCAAGGCTAAATACATTAATTAATTTCAAGGTAATCTGTGAAGAACTTGATTGCATCAGAAGTGCCCAATCTGCAGAATGTAATGTACCTGTAATGGTATGTGGAAATGACCTTGGGAGACAGGAGAAAGAGCTGCAGCCTAGACAATGGTCTGATAAATGAAATTTGAGTCTGAAGGAGGAGGGGTGGAGAAAGCATCTTAGAAGAGACCCTCCCTAGTTTTTGGGAGAGTAAAAGTAACGGATGGTAGGAGTACTTGCAAGATTGATGTTAGCCCTTCAAGGTAGTCCAGGCAAGAAGCACAACCATGAGTATTAACACTTTATTGTAAGGTTACATTAACAGAATCTTTCAAGTCTGAAAGTCTCTCATAAATGAATGCTTCTCCCAATCAAGTGTTGGTTGTTTAAGCAGATGGCATAACTGTAAATAGATTGTCATCAAGAGATACAAGAGTTAAAAGACAACTTTGTAGGAGGGCCTTTGGTTTTAGAGTGTTATAAAAATCATGAATGGTTCTTGACTAAAGATGAGTTTCCTTGGTAGGGAAAATAAATCGCTAGTCTCTTTAAGGAAAATATTGTTATGTTCTTGTCATTTCTCAGAAGATCAGAGATAACATAACAATGTTTTGTTTTCTGTAGACAAGCGGGCACTAGAGTCTTATGTTTCTGTTTATGTATAGCATCTTGGAAACATACCTGACCAATCATACTTTCTAGTTTGGCTCCTTGGGGCTCAGGAAACTGGTTGCCTTGTTTGCACTACATGCTAACTCAGATTGTGCTTCCTTAGTTTTGGTTCATTATTTGGTATGAACCCAAATATTTTGCAAACAACAGTTTATATTGAGCATGTTGGGCAGGCCTAGCCAATTGTGGTTTATTCAATATTGACTATTTAATAAACCATGCTTAAGTATACTGTAGCTCATGCAAAGTGGGAATCCACTCAATGAGTATAGTCTTTTTCTTACTGCATTCAGCCACAACAAATTGCAATCATGATGTAGGAAAATATGAAAATTGTACAACTGCAGGGAACTCAAAGCAGATTTTATTTATCATAAATTTAGTAAGTGCTGTGGTTCCACAGCATTAGCAAGATACTGAAATGAGGTCATGCTTTATATGGAAAAAATTAATCCTTAACCTGCAGAATAAGAGCTCTCCATCACTTCATAATACTGAGTGATATATTCTAAAGAGTAAAGGTATCCAGAGCTATATTTCAAAAATACTTTGTTTCCCAGGTCCATAGCGGTTATCGAACAGAAGAATGGAAATGTTTCAATGAATTCAAAGACAGAGTTTGTTGAACTTTTAAAAGAACTTCACATATGACCAAAGCGTGTTTCTACTTTTAGATTTAGTGCACTCTTGATTTGTGGTTGTGGCCACACTTTGCCCATTGCTACCTGATGTAATACAGCACACTGGACATCAGCAACAAGGATAGTTGAATGTCTGCAGTTTCTGACTTGGTGTGGGCACCTGCTTGCCAGTCTGCTTAATTTGATCAATGTCAGAACAGCTGATTATACAGAGTTATCTTGCTCAAATGACTTAGTGTGGGGGAAGGAATATATCCAGAAATGAAGCTGAAATGCCAAATGTAAAGACAATGTCATCTCTTCATCGACGACCAATTTCCCTTACCCACAAAAGCAAAATGTAATTGTGGTTTTCCTTCCTTGATATTCTCCAGTGTTAGATACTTCATTATTGAAGTTATTGCAAACATTGTTCAAGTCCAGCACCACAGCAGAAACTAAGTATGAATAAGTAGAAATCACTCACTTTTAACTTCCTACATTCCAAGGAATGGCAGCTTGCTACCTCTTGATTTATAGATCATTTTTGTACAGTACAATGTACATAATAATTCAAAGGTTAATGGCATTATAGTATATTTTAAACATACACAGATTTCTCTATTGATATGTAAGACTTTCAGTTTGATCTTATTTTGAATTCCCTTTCATTTTCTGGTTCTCTGAAGCCAAACCTGCTATGCCAGCTATCGTCCTAAGCAGCAGCTTGTGGTTGTCTGACAAAAGCACACAACCAGTGTTTTCATGAAGAAAAGAATTCAGTTTTCTGCATTTTGTTTCTGGCATGATTATCCAACATGAGGTAACTTTCCACAGCTCCCAAAACATGGTTTTCGACTGGGAAACTGTAGTACCCCTTGCGGAGCTGGTAAATGGTTGTGGCAGATAGGTGGTTTTCCTTAAATAAAGGGGCAAGTGAATAATGCCCAATTGGATTAGAATATTATTGTTATTTTAAAGTCAGTATAGCTGCCCACTCCTATAGATTCTGAGAAAGCATGCAAATGATTTAATGAACTGAAGGATTCCAGGAGAACTCAGTGTGGGAGAACATTGAGGCACTTCGTCAGTGTAAAACATGGGAGCCTCGAGCACCCTCTTTGGAGAGAGGTGTAAGTGCCACCGCTAGACTGAAGAAAGATTTATTTTAGCCTAATAGCCATCCTTGAAGCAGCTTCTCAGAAAATGTCTGCCCAGATGTGTTTGCTTTACAGGTTTTGTGGAGGAAAAATAGGAACCTGAGATTAATCAGGGTTTGAATCATTCTTCTGAAGAACAGATGAAGAAAAGGAAAATATCTAACTGCAGAGGAAATGGAGGATAAGAATATATGATTCATCAATCTGATACCATAGAAAGTGGACTGATTTTAATGAAGGCGGCACTAAAATGCA